AGAGGGGGGGGGGGGGGGAGGGAACACAGTTATGACCCAGCTTTGGGGCACCAGTTCTATGACAACAGCCACCAGGGAAGGAGAAGGCAGCTGAAAAGCTAAGCTTACAAACGGCTTCCAATTGATATGCATAAACCCATGTTAGTCCTTTTGATCTTCATGCTTGCTATCCTATCTCAGCAGCCCCGGGAAACCCAGGCCTCTCCAAATGCTATCAGACTTTAAGGACCCTTAGCCCTCATCCGTATATCCAATGCTGAGGAAGGATGAGTGCCGCAGGGATCCGCAACATCTGGAGGGCCTCAAGCCTTGGGGTTTTGCTGTTGTGGATGTTGCTCTGTTTGCCAAAGTAACTTAGGGTGTGGCATATCATAAATGGGATACTCTGTCCTTCACAGAAAAAGAACACAGGAGGATATTATGGCCACCTCTTGCGGTCGATTCCAACGTTGCCCTTTGAAAAAAAAATGCAACAGATGAAACAAAACAGGGTTTCCCTTGGTGCTTAAGCTTAGTAAGAGATCAGAATTTCAAACATCCCTGCCCAACCAGCCATAAGAAGGTCATGAAAGGGACTTTTTGAAGGTAACTTGAAAACGTAGCACATTGCACCAAAGGTCACTCTTAAAAAGTAACTTGGCTTGCTCTTTTTTTACCTAAAGTAATTCCAAACATTTTTCAAGCTCCGTCACCCAGCCGTGCTAGCTGCTGAAACCCCATTTCAACCGCCATCCCTGCGAGGGTGGCCTCAAGAACAGCTAACAAGGTATCACTGTGCAGCATGGCCACTGTTTGTTCACGCTGCCAGAAAGGATACAGAGCTCGTAATAACTCTTTGGAGACAACATTGAAGTCCGAAGCTCCCCAAGCATATTTGAGGCATGTTTCAAAGCATCCATTAACTTGTTTTTGTCCTAGAAAAAATATTTGAAAAAATATGTCTGATTATGTCTCATTTCATTTCAAGAGTGATGTCCAACAGTTACATACTTGCTCTAACTTTCAAGAAGTTCCACTAACTTCTGCCAGAATTTTGCTGCTAGTTCACAATCCCAAGATCCCAACACATTTATTTGTAAACACATCTACGCCACTGTCTTATACAGATAGTCAAAGGTAGGCTGCATTCTAGCATGGAAATGACGAAGAGTGAAAGCATTTTGTGCTTCACTGACATCTGGCTTGTTGTGATGTTATTAGCCTTTGCTAATAAACCATGGTTTGCTAACCAATCACAAACCATAATTTGAATTCAAGAGTTTGAGGCGGAGTTGCAAACTCCAACTCATTTATAGAGGATCCTTCCAATCACCCATGTTGCCCAATCTTTTCACTGGAGACATGGAAAGAAGTCCAGGAAGGGGGAGCGCTGCACATTATAAAAAGGAACAACCTATTTACTCAGCCCACCATCACCCCAATGTATTTAATCACAGAATTATAGAATCAATGAGTTGGAAGGGGCCTCTAAGGCTATCAAGTCCAGCCCCCCCTTTTCAATGCAGTGATCCACTTTGTGGCCAAGCTGACAGATAGTTGCCCAAGTTTTTCTTGAATGCCTCCAGTGTTAAGAGCGCTCCCCACCTCCCGAGGTCATTGATTCCACTGTTGTACTGTCCTAACAGTTTAGAGGTTCAAGAGAGTGCAAAGATGGGTGAATTGAGCACCACTAATGTGGCCGATCTGCCCATTTCGAAGGTGCATCAAGCCTTACAAAATTAACACACTTTTGCAAAAGGAGCAAGCAAACACTGCCGCTTACCAGGCACCGCTTCATTTGAAAGGACTGGACCTTGACCGCCTGAATGGCTTCGTCCAAGAGCTTCTCCTGCTCATCTTGAGGAGACTGCTGTGTCGTCGGCTAGAGGGGGAGCAGGGTGAACAGTGGGTGGGAGAGAGCGAGACGTTATTTATGTGGTTTAGGGAGAATATCTAGCGCAACCTCGGAGAGAGCAGGCCAGAGTTTTGTCCAGGCCAACAGCTTGCTTCCAGAGTTGGCCAACTGTAAGCGGCCAAGATCCTCACACAAGCAGGATGTGAATGCAGAGAGTTCTCTCACCAAAACACCCCAGCTGACTTTCCAGCAACACCCAGTCTCCTAGGGTTAAAGTTCCGGCACTTTCCGAGTTGCATGGGCTAGCATTCCAACAGAAAACCCAGCTGGCAACTGCAGACGTCAGGATACTGAGCTATGGAGGCTAGGGGTCGGGTGGGGGTCCATTTCCATCAGTCCTGGCTAGCACAGCCAACAAGGGAAGTCCCATAAGGACAATGAGAACTGCAGTCTAGCACTCTTTAAAAAAATCTTAATAGGTGTTTGGTGTTTTAATATGGTATTTATACCCTGTTTTTAAATCTCTTGTTTTATCTGTGGTGAGCCACCTTGGGTCTCCTATGGGGGGGAAAGGTGGCATATAAATAAATAACCCACTATAGCTGGAAGTCACCAAATTCTCTAAAATAAACCACCACTATTGTCCAGAGCAGTTCTTAAGAATTTACTAATAACTGAAAAAGAAAGGAGGAGCATTCAGAAGAAGTCACTGAGTCAGGCCCTCTCTCTCATTATTATTTTGAATTATGTGCTAATTTTCAGGTAAGACTCATGCAAACTACCTTGGAAATCAATTACAATCCACCACAAAGAATGCAAGCGCAGGTTCTTCCCTCTAGCAGAGCTACTTTTGCAAATAGCTCATTTTGGCAACAATGGAAAGTATGGTCTGTATGTGTGTAAAATGCACAGTATTCCCATTTGGAAGTTATTTAAAACAGATATAATATTTCCCACCACAATTGCTGTCGGGAAGCCAGACCCATTTTACAGACTTTTACTCTGCATTTACTCCTCTGGCGTTTCAATGAAGTTTACGCCAAGGCAAAACTTGGGTGACGTACTCTTAAAAAGGCGAATACAAATATTTCCAAACCCGCTGGCCAAAAAACGAGTAGCAACTTAAAATTAGAGCAGGCCCATTGAATCAGGAAGAGCGAGGGAGGCCCCGACTTCCCAAATCCCCATTGATTCAATGGGCCTACTCTCTAGCTGAGACGGAAGACTGGATTTCAGCCCTTCTGTACCTCCACGCAGACTTCCTCCTGCTTACACCAGAGGAGGACGGACACACGGCCTCCTCCCCCGCCCAGACTAGCAACTTAAAATTAGAGCAGGCCCATTGAATCAGGAAGAGCGAGGGAGGCCCCGACTTCCCAAATCCCCATTGATTCAATGGGCCTACTCTCTAGCTGAGACGGAAGACTGGATTTCAGCCCTTCTGTACCTCCACGCAGACTTCCTCCTGCTTACACCAGAGGAGGACGGACACACGGCCTCCTCCCCCGCCCAGACCCCCAAGCCAGCTGATAGTATCCCTTCCCCTTCCCCCCCCCCCCCCCCCCCCCCCCCCCCCCCCCCCCCCCCCCCCCCCCCCCCCC